GGGACTAGTAAAGCGCTATACGGGCTCTTATAGCACTGTGTGTTTGCGTGTGCACCTCACACATCTGTTTTTATTAAACCACAGTGAAACAGATGAAATGTATTTTTAATCTAATTATGACAACTTGCATTTTATTCATTAATAAGAAAACAAGTTAAAATCCCCTCAGTCCATGTGACTGTGATCACCAACTGCTGAGACGACCATCAAAACATTCGTGTTAAACTTGGTGCAATGTTACATTGATAAATGGAAAACTCTATATTTCTTTGTATTTATGTGCCACCATAATAACATTTAGCATTTTATAAATACTAAAAATGGCTAACATGTTATAAAACCAATTAATCGTTGAATTAGACAAGCACAAGATTTTTTATTTTTTTGTAATTTGGATTTCCTGTTGCTGTCATCATTTACACATTTCACAGCACATTTAAATGTGCAATTTTCTCTCAATTAAAAATTAACAAGATGAGTCTAATCCAACATATACATGCAGCTCAAAACATGCCTTTTTCTCCACTGAGAGGTAAATGGTGTTTTTAATCTTTAATCTGGCAACAATGTATAACAGTGTATCAGAGAGACAAGTCTCTGATGTTTTTGTTGTACGATTAGGTCGGGCAATAGATGCAAATATTCACTGAAGTGAAAAACTTGATTTGAAATCTTCTGAAACATCTTTCAAACCTTTATGGTTTTGGTAAGTAGACAGAAAGTCAGCTTCATGAATAGTTCAGTATCAAAATATCTGATCTTAAGCTGTGGGTAAGAGAAAAGATGTTCCAGTTTATATAAGTTAACATAAACAGAAAATGCCATTAATGATTTCAAAGCAAAAAAGGTTGCAGTGTTTCATTACATCCATAAATCCTCTCTGTGGTCTTTTTCCACCGTACAATGAACATGGCTAAATGCAACAAAAGTTTGAAAATAGGTGACAGTTATTTTAGGATAACAAAGTCTACAAGTTTACATTTTATGAAATTTAAATTGGTTCAAGCAAAAAAAAACAACAAAAAACAAAAAAACAATTGTTTGTAAATAACCTGGTTGGAAGACAAAGTGCAGCCTTGCTTTTGTGTAACAGTTAGAAAAGCAGTTACATCAGCCGTGGAAGATGTAGACGAAGCTGTTGGAGCAGCTGGGTAATGGAAAGATTGCAGAAGTTGTTTGGATATACAGAGATGGGGTGGAGAGAAAT